GTCTGCTTGAGATTCTTTCCCTCTGCTCCTCCCCCCACTCACATGCACACTCTCACATACTTTCTCTCTCTCTCTCTTTCAAATAAGTAAATCTTAAAAAAAAAATGCAGACCATATCATATATCCAGTGCACATAGAGGTTTGTATGAACGTGTTACCCTCTGTGTTAGTCTTGTAATGGAGTCCAACTACATCATTCTAAATGCTTGAGCCTTATTTGCCCACTTAAATAATTTTATATTATTTGTTAAATAGATTGGAGTGGCATTTTATGACATGTTGCTGAATGTAGACCAGTGTAGTGCCCACTTAAATTACATGGATCCCATCTGTGACTTCTTGTATCATATGAAGTATATGTTTACTGGTGACAGCGTAAAAGAACAAGTAAGTTAACTTTACCTTTTAATGATATTTAGTTTAGAAAACTTGAATATATGCTGATACACTTTTGTTTGAGTACTTTGTTATTTTTTTTTTTCTTTTAAGGGGAAGGGTTGATATTATTAGACCTTTTTAGGCTACATGAACACATTATTCTGCATGTATAATTCAAGTACTAGCAAATACGTGTTATAATTTCTCACACTTCTTCCCCTTGATAGTTGCAGCAGGACATCTGAAAAAGACCTAGATGGTTGATTAACAGTAATCTCATTAGCAAGAAACAGTCCAAATGTCTACTTTTTAAAAGACCAGAGAGGTGCTGTGTAATGAGTGAAGGAGATCCCACTTTTCTCACAGTGACTAGGGTACACTATGGGACATTGGACAGATTGCAGCATAACTAGAAGACTGAAGCCAGGTGGATCAAGAGAATAATTCATATAAAGGGTATTTGAAGGAACTGGAGGTACTTAACTTGAATTTTCAGAGTCCTAGGGAATTGTTTGTGTTCTCACTATTTGGAGGGTTGCCGTTTGGAATAGGCATTAGATTTGTTCTGTGTTACTTCAAAAGGCATATAAACTCCAATGAAGTTAAAGGGAAGCACATTCAGACTCAGCATCTAAAGAGCCACTTCCTGGTAAAGTCTTCTGAAAGTGGAAAGGATGTCCTTGAGTCATAGCTGAGTTTCCTCTTTATAGGAAACAATGGCTTGGCTCTTTTAGAAGGGTGGAGGTAGGGCAGATAGGTGAAGTGACCTCCCCTCCATACCTTAATGTTACTTTTTTCTCTGGCAGGAAAGGAAGGTAAACTGACATATAAACATATGAATCCCAGTCTACTGGGTTCTTTCCTTGGAGCTAGGGACATGGAGTGGGGAGGATGTTCACTTCTTTATTGCCTCAGCAGGATTGTCAGAGTTGAGTGGAAACCAATACAGAAGTGTTTGATTTAGCATATTCTTTATATTTGAGCTTAAGAAACTTTGACACAAGGGAATACAGAAAGGAAAAATTATTAATAGGCTGATCTTTCCTGGTAAGGTCAAAGAGCATTTGAATAAAGCTAAGAAAGCCATGGGACTGCTTGATGTTTTTATTTCTTTAAAGTATTTTAAGTAAAAGTAGATCTAATATTTTGTTTGAATTCCAAGTACAAATCAAAACCAAAAAAATTAGCTTTGTAGATAAATGTTACAGAGATAAGTTATTCAAATAACTTCAAAATATAATCATGCTTTATGCTTCTGTGATGATGGCATTTTAAAAGGAAGGTGAACTGGATGCCTGGGTGGGGGTGGTGCAGTCGATTAAGTGTCCAACTCTTGGTTTCAGCTCAGGTTGTGATCTTGTGAGATTGAGCCCCGTGTCCAGCTCCATGCTCAGTGTGGAGTCTGCTTCAGATTCTTTCCCTCTCCCTTTGCCCCTCCCACTTGTTCTTTCTCTCTCCCTCTCTCTAATAAATAAGTCTTAAAAAAAATATTAAAAAAATAAAAGGATGGTGAACTGGTTGGATGCATAAAATTTCCGGTGTAAACTATGTTAGCTTTTGACAGTGGGATGGCTAGCTAAGTAAGTTAATGTTTTTGTTAAGTGTAGACATATATAGATTATATGCACATATATAATGTGTGTGAGGGAGAACACATTTTTTTCCTCATGTAAGAGAGAAATAATTTTATTTGCTTTTGTTAAAACATAAAACACAGAAATTTCTTATCCAGCCCACTCCACTCCCTGATTTTATTATCTCCAGATATGTATAAAGAATTTTATACATATTTTTATACAATCTTTAAAGATGGGAAATTGAGGGTGCCTGGGTGGCTCAGTTGTTAAGCATCTGCCTTTGGCTCAGGTCATGGTCCCAGCATTCTGGGATCGAGCCCCGCATTGGGCTTCCTGCTTGGCGGGAGGCCTGCTTCTCCCTCTCCCCCTCCCCCTGCTTGTGTTCCCTCTCTTGCTGTCTCTCTAATAAATAAATAAAATCTTTTAAAAAAATTATTTAAAAAAAGGTGGGAAATTGAAGTTCTCTGGTTAAAATATTTTTTAATGTGTTTATTTATTAGGTAGAGAAGATTATCTGTAATTTAAAACCAGCTTTAAAACTTCGTCTTCGATTCATCACACACATTAGCAAGATGGAGCCAGCTGCCGTGCCTGCACAAGCCATGAGTAGTGGGTCTCCAGCACCTCAGTCTAATCAGGTGCCAGGGTCTTTACCAGTAACTCAGTGAAATCCAGGTGCGTGGTGGTGGAAAGGGAAACACATCTGTCTTTGAAAGTGGACTCAAATCTATTAAATCTGAACATGATCAAGCCTACATAGTGATGTAGTAGAAGCAGTGAGGTTCAGATTGTTTTATTTTGATTCTAATGATGAATCTATTGATACTTTATAACTCCCATCTCCCTATCTATATTTTGTCTCTAAGAGATCAAGTAAGCTACATGTTGCTCATATCCATAACAATTTATTAGAGCTACCTGGGAATATGGAGGTATCTATGATCAAATGACTTTTATCAGATACTTTCAATCTTTCCTATTCTAGCCACTGGTTTTATTTTTAATTTTTATTATTAATGACTTCAGTCTTCAAATACATTGTTTTAAAGGCCACCACACATGTAAAATAGTTATCTAATCATTTTATACATAAATCTCTTGGTTTATCTTTGGGATAAGAGATTTTTGTCAAGTGAAGGATTCTAGATTTCATTGCATTGCAGGAGCACAGTTTCATATTCTTTTAGAAACGGCTTAAAATTTTTACCATAGGTTTCCAAATAAATGGGTTAATGTTTCTATCAAGGCAGATTGGCAAGTTTTTGCCTTTGCTGTGGACTTGAACTTACTGTATGAAATGAGTTGGAAGCCATGTAAGAAAATAACATAGAAATGCATAAACTTAATAAAATCATGCTTAAATGGTGATTCTGCAATCTCTATTTTTAAAAATAAATTGCTTTTCCATAGGTGATGCAATTCTTTAAATTTTTATAATCTTAAAATTTTTAAGTATTTATATTTTTAAATATAGCATACATTTTGGTTTAGGGTTTATCAGATTTTGAGAGACCAACTTAATTTGGGGGAGGGGGATACAGCATTAAAATTGTAAAAAACTTGAAAAGTAATTGGTAAAATCTGCTAAATGAATAAACCTATTATTTACTCGATCTGAGCAAGTGTCTGCTGTGTTCCAGGCAGTATGCTGAGTTGTAACAGAACAGTTCTTATGGGTTATACACTACAGATGGTGATGGACATGGGCCTGGGACTTAAGAGTTACTATATATATATATATATATTTTTTTTTTTTTTTAAGAATCAGAGAAGCTTGACCAACTATACTTCAAATCTTTATTTCCAAATACATCCCTCTTAGATCTTTATCTTCCATGTGGTTCATATTATTCTGATCATTAAATCTTTATTTGCCATGCAAGTCCAGCTTAAAATTTCTGTAACGGCATAAGTAATTTTTCTAGGTTAATGATATTCTTAAAATTCTCCAGAAGTTTTATGCTAGAAATGAATTCAAGTATTACTTTTAACATAGTTTCAATATATTCCTGCTGCCTTGAAGAATATATTGCTTTGAGGTCATAGAGTGGGAATAATTATGACACTAAATAGAATTAAAGGAAGTGAAAATCAGTACCACTTTCTCAAGGACAAATACATTCCAGTTAATTTATTAAAAATTACCTTTTTTCCTCTCTTACTAAAAATATGGGGATATGATTTTCCCAAAATAGGCTTTTAAAAGAATTGTTAATCAGACATTAGAAGAAGATAGATTTATTTGGTTTTAGAATGCACCTGAGGGGAAAACAACACCTTTGTATCCATTGCATCCTAAGAGTTTTTCTTTCTGGGGGGAAAAAAGTCCAATAGGACTTTCTGCAGTGGTGGAAATATTCTGCATCTGTTCTGTCTAATACAGAGTCAGAAGCTCTACATGTCTGGAGCACTTGAAATGTGGAACTGAATTTTTAATTCTATTAAGCTTTAATTAATTTAACCCCATGTGCCTACATTATTGAACATTATACTTTAAGGTCCATCACAATTGCTCTTACTTAAAAGTAATTCAGTAAAATATTTATCTTACAGAGTCTATAGTATCAGTTAGGTTTAAGATTCTGGGTTGCATGTGAAAAATCAGATGATAGAGGCTCTTTAACACATAGCTACTACAGCAATAAAAATCCTTTCATGGGACTAGCTTCATTACAGAGTCTACTGGAGTTCTGTATAAGTTGGGGAGAAGGGGAAGAGTTTGCTTCCCTGGTTTTGATTATACAGCTGACCCTTGAACAACACAGGGGTCAGAGGTGCTGACCCCCACACACAGTCGAAAATTGTTAACTTTTGACTCCTATTGTTGACCAAAAGCCTTACTGATAACATTAGCAGCCAGCCAATTAACACATATTTTGTTGATAATATTACATATATAATATGTATTATATACTGTATTCTTTCAATAAAGCTAGAAAAAATGTTACTAAAATCATAAGAGAGAGAAAAACATTTACATTACTGTGCTATATCCAAAAAAAAAAAAAAATCGTGTATAGGTGGACCCATGCAGTTCAAACCCATCTTGTTCAAGGGTCAACTGTAGTTTACTCTTACTTACTTTATTCCATTTCCCTCACTATATTCCTGAGCCAAGATGAGTTTTTGGGTTGTTTAAGGATTTCAGCCAATGAGACACTATAATTACAATGAGTGAGAGGACCATGGGAGTGTTTGGAAGTCACAGATAATTTTAGGTGAAATTCCTATCTGAATTAGAAGGTTTTAGAAACAAATTGCAGTTTGATTTCTTTTTTCTACCTCCAAAAAGGCTACCTGAATAGCAGCCTTGCTTAAAATATAAGCTAATATCATGTCTGAGGTTTAGAAAAAGTAAAACATGGTCATCTAACATTAAAGAACTTGGGAGATTCACAAGGCCTTACCATTACCCCTTTGCAGATGAAGAAACCAGGAGGCAGTTTTATCTCACCAGTTTTACAGTGTTTTGGGGATGATGATTTCACTGTGGGCTTTTTAAATCCTTAGTAAATCCATGTGTTTAGAAACATATAGACATAATACAACCTTAATATAAAGAGTTTATTATAAAAATCACATCTTTGAACAACATGGGAATATGGTCCCTTTTCAGGTGGGGTAGCTTTATCTTCTGATATCAGGAGTCCCACTCTATGTGTTTTTAATTACACAAAACCTAGAATTTCCAAATCTTGAATTTCACACCAAGAGGGAATTGATAGTTAATTATACCAATATTTACCGAGGCAGAACATTTTTCAGAAAGACCAAATTTTGGGGAGGATAACTGTAAGCTTAAGTAAATTATTAAGATTGACTAATTACGACATTAGCTGTGAGATTTTTACATTATGTTTCCACATTTATTTAAGTGGGTTAAGGTAGTCGATAGGCTTATGATTACCCTCCCGCGCAACTCCAAAGCAAGCCAAGGTTACTGCTACTGCTGTGTTCACTGTTCGAGTTACTTCTTCTGGTGTCTTCCCCAAAGAGGGGTTCACTTCCATTATATCTAATCCTGAGAGTAGCCCTATAACAAAAATGGAAAATAATGTAGTTTGTTAAATAGTTGACATTTTTAATTCAGTACTCTGCCTTGAAATATTATCCAGGAGTGTAAACCGGTGGTGACTGCATCATGTGATGGGCATTCTGGAAGTGTCCAATGGGGCTTGATTTTCAAATCAGATGGTTTAAATATATACTGGCCATGTATACACTTGCTTCTTCATGCATCCCAATTTTTACCTACCTGTTTTGTAAATTTCTTCTGTAATGTAGAGACCTTCTCTGTAAGACAGACCTCCCACAACTGGTGTGCCCGTAGCTGGTGTGAAAGATGGGTCCAGTCCATCAACATCAAAGCTCAGATGAATTGGCCTTTTTTTTCTTTTAAGAGATGGGAAAGAAATTCAGTTTAAAGTTGGTGGTTGAATACATAGTACATAAATATAGTTCTTACCTTGCTTTATAAAAAGTAACAATCCAGTGAAGTTCCATAATTTTACATGAAGGCTTTATTAATAATCATTAACATCAGTAGTAAGTCCTTTTAATAATATTTACGTTACACACACACAAGCATCGTACCTTCCTAGTAGATAACTGAGTGCTTCTTCCATCACCTTGCCAATTCCCAGTTTATCCACTTCAGTCATTGAAAAATATTTAATACCCAGAGTTTTCAAAATGTAGCTATGAAAGAGGAGATATTAAGATAATCCTACAGTTAATAGTCTAACTCTATGCCCTCTTATTTCCCTTTAAAGAAAAGATCACTGTGGCAAGACAGATAAAATATTTAAGTCCTATGAACTATATGTATATTTTAATGTATTTTTAACAGCAAGTCAATTAGTATAAAAATCACCTGATTTATAGACATAAATATTTGTATGGGTATATAGATATTGATATATATACTTGGTGCTTAAAATAATTTTTTTCTCATAGGTTTGACCAGCATGCCTAGCATGCAAAAGAGAGAAAATAAAGGTAATTCACATCAAGGAATAAACTTACTGTTCCCCAGGGTCCACATCTCTCAGGCCAATATACACAATATCTTTTGCAGATATGCAGGGAGTCACCCAGGAGAATCCTGGTAAATCGGGGATCTAAAATTGCAATGTTTCCATCTGATTAGTATATATGATTCTTGAGCAAATCTTACATTGAAAGTTAAGGGCCCTTACTGGATTGCATATATCTTATATTTAGAACATAAATTTCAAGGAAATCATTAAAACACAATACAAAATTCAGAAGAGAATGCCTGCCTCCCCTTGTGCTCTATATGGCTTTGGCTTTACCAGCCTTCACCCTGGCCCAGACCTGACCTGAATCATTTGTCAGTATCTACCTCTCTGTGCCCAATTCCATGGGGCCCTGCTTTCCCAAAACTCTGCTATAAAGAAATCAGTGGCTTTCATGACTTTTTTAGCTTCCTTCTTTATTTCTCTTCTCAGTAGGACTTAATCCCAAGGATGGCTTAGAGTGACTAGGGGAGATTTTCAAGCAGCTTCGGTTGCTCTCCAAATGCCCTAGAGCCAAGGGTGGCTATTCCCTTGTGCTAACTACACACTTTGCAGGTTTATAAACCTATCACTTGGTTCAGAAAGTGTTATTTCTATGGTGAGAGCTGTGACTTGTGTAAGACTGATGAATCACAGACCTGTACCCCTGAAACAAATAATACATTATATGTTAATAAAAAAATTTTTTAAAAGTGTTACTTCTGAGCACTTAACAAGGGGGTTTGAATCCCCAGGTATCATCATAAAGACCAATATTCTACAGCTATATCAGTAAAAATTGTTTTATTGATATGCTACAAAATATCAACGAATATGAACCACAATGTTAAATCTCAATCTGGAATGTAATCTCACATCTTTTTTTTGTTTTTTTTAAGATTTTACTTACTTATTTGACAGAGACACAGTGAGAGAGGGAACACAAGCAGGGGGAGTGGGAGAGGGAGAAGCAGGCTCTGCACTTGGTAGGGAGCCCCATGTGGGGCTCGATCCCAGGACGCTGGGATCATGACCTGAGCTGAAGACAATCGCTTAACAACTGAGCCACCCAGGCGCCCTTGTCATCTCACATCTTGTAGAAAAGAAGTTTCTAGGGAGCAAGGATTTAGTTCTTCCTCTTATGATGTAGATACGAACTTCTCACAGTAAAGATGTTAAATAATAAACCATTGTAATCCATATTTTAAAACTCCATTTTTGAAAAAGGTCCCATGATGTGGAGGGGATGCTTGGGAAGCATGAAAGGCCATGTGTCATGTAGTAGAAAGAGGTAGGTTATAAACCAGTCCTGGCCCTTGCCTTGCTATGTGTTCGGCATGTGATCTTGAGCAAGTCAGTTAACCTCTGAACCTCTGCTAACTTGCTTATAAGGGATTACTCTCTGCCCTACATACTAAAAAAGTGAAGATATATGTAAAGTCAGTTTGCAAACTATCAAGTAAGGTAGAGGCACAGAGCCTCACTTCCTTTATGTACCAACCCTTAGCTTATTGGCTGCTGAGAAAATGGTTTGAGATTACACCAAAAATAAGATGGCACCAGGGTTCTTCCTTCCCTTCTATCTCCTGGACTTCTGCTAAAGAGACGGTTCCTTTCTAATAGAATACAAACCAGCCCCTTACCTTTCCTTTTAGTTCCTTCAGAAGGAAAGACACAGGTTGTCCATGCAAGTTCCCACTTGTGGTTGTCACTGGAGTGTTGATATCAGTGTGAGCATCCACCCAAATGACACACAGATCTGGGTGGACCCTGGCATGGCCAGAGATGCTTCCAACCGCCATACTTTAGAGGAAAAAAGTCTGTGTGAACATCAGGTTTGCAATATTATTCCATCCATCCACTCAGTGCTCTCACTTGGTTTTCCTTTAAGTGAAAATGGCTGGTATTTCTGGCAGGTTTTTAATTGGAAATGCCAATTAAACAATTATAACAATAGAAAAGCATAGCTTATGCTTCATTACTAAACAAGGTAAGTTTTCATCAATGGCCTTACTAAAAAACTTGTGATTTTTTTTTTTTTTGGAAACCACCTTCTAATAAAATTGCAAATTATTGTTTTAACCAAAAATTCAATCTGTATAAGAACACTAGTCACACAGGAAATTCCTTAGCGTGAGACACTATTTAATTCTCAAGATTAAATCAGGCTCGCTTTCTGTACTCTCATGTCTCTTGGTAAGTACTTCATTCTCTCAAGTGAATTACTACAGAGTCCATTTTTCCTAAAATCCGATTATTTTACAATTGGGGAGCATCACTCAGAAATCCTTGCATCTAGTACAGCCAGCGTTTCCTGAGTGCTCACTTGCTAGTCAGTGCTCAGAAGCTCTGCTTGAACTTGCTACTCTCCTGCCACACATTTAAAGACCCGCTCTTAGCCTGGTCCAGAACTCTCAAAGTTCAACTCAAACACTCCAAGCTCTAGAAAATGTGCCAGAATGGAAGCACTAAGTAATATCTTACCTAAAAGTTCAAAGATTAGGATTTGCCATCTGGCACCTGTGTTCTCCCACCTGCGGATGGTCAAGTGTCATTCAGGGAATTGTGAACTTGTAGATGCTCAAAGTGAAGGCAGCCTGCCTTGAAGCTTACATACTGATTATCCAGCTTGGTATTTGTTTCCCCTTCAGATTTCTTGTCTTGTGGCTGTTTGCCACTCTTAACATTTCCACGTGCAAATTTTTCCACTTAAAAAAGAAAGTGAGTCCCAGTTTCTCAATTACAGTTTTGTCACACAGGAGCCCTGGAAATGGTTTGGCTTTGGAGGAAAACAGGGAGCTGAAGTGATTGACTCCTGCATCAAGAGCCATTGTCATGTTTGTACTTTCTGATCTGATCAGACCTCTGATAATGTACTCAGGGACCTCAAGAGTAGACATTAAAAAGGCTCATGCACAGAAAGGGCCTTTGCCACATTATTTATAATCAGGAAAATTTGAAAATTATCTGAATATGTGGCAATATGGATATGTATAGTGATTTAATACCCTGATGAAAAATATGCAACAGTAAAAATTATGTTTATACATACCATGAGGTAACATAAGGAAATCTGTACTTTAGGTTAAGAACAAAGCATCGGATCACACGGTTGTTAAAATCAGGTATAAGGGAAACAGTATGACAGGAAGGAAATATGCCCGATTTGCAATTTCACTTGAAATGTTTGTTAGGAAATATAATTACTACTATTTTATTTATGTGTGTGTGTGTTTTAAAAGTTTGAAATTACTACTTTTAGAACAGGAAAAATACTTTCAAATGTTGACTTAAATGAGTTGTTCCTGCTATCAGGAATCAAGTATAGTAACCCAGCCAGGAACTTCCTCGTGTTTATTCATTTAGGAATGTTAAGTTTGTGATGCATATTTTACTGAAATCCATTCATGTCATATATTCTGTGCTGTAATAAATGTAATGCAAGACTTTAAATGGAGCTAAGTCTCTATTTCCAAAAGAAAATAAATAACCGAAACAATTAAAAGAAGAAAAGGCAGAGAGATCAGTATAAAGTATTGATCAGCATTTTCCCTTTCGTATTTTCTCTGCTCTCACGGTTTCGCTTATACTCCCTTAGGCCCTTTGTGCCAGACTTCAGAGAGAGAGTCATTAGGCAGGACCTGTGGTCTCCGCCCAGCACCAGGCTGGTCCTTCCCTGCCTCTTGACTTCTGCCACCACGCCGGCCAGCTGCTCATTGGCTTTCCCGACAGACCTCGGATTCTTCACAATTTGAAAGGGAGGATCACTAGGGACATCAACAAAGGGCACGTCCCCATAATCTTTCACATCACACTCTGTAATTAAAAGCAAAAGTTTTAGGTCACTACATAAAAAAAGATTACAAAACAGTCTGTGTAGGATGATTCCGAACTTGCAAAAACAGTGTACTTTCAAAAGGATAAGCAAAGAAAACATCAGGGAGGACTGTTCAAGTTGCAAAGCTAGAAACCGTGTCTGCTTTTGCCTGACATTGTCATCTCAGCTGCACACTGGGCTCTCAGTAAACACTTGTGCAATCAATCCAGTGAGGCTGGACACGAAAGTAGGACAGTGAGCATCTTCTGGTTTGGGCTTAATGAGCAGCCTCGCTGTCTTTATCTCTGTGTGGCCCTACCTGCTTATGTGCTTTCTACCTTTCTCCAATAAGCATGTGTTGTATTTATAATAAATGTTTTTTTTAAATATATATTAGGTACATGCCCAGAGGAAATGCACCAGTTACACCAGTATTTTCTTTTTTTTTTTTTAAAGACTTTATTTATTAATTTGACAGAGACACAGCGAGAGGGAACACAAGCAGGGGGAGTGGGAGAGGGAGAAGCAGGCTTCCCCGCTGAGCAGGGAGCCCGATGCGGGGCTTGATCCCAGGACCCTGGGATCATGACCTGAGCCCAAGGCAGACGCTCAACGACTGAACCACCTAGGCGCCCTACACCAGTATTTTCTAAATTTTCTGACTGTAATTAACGGTCCTTGGTTTCAATCCAATCTGTTACCTGCTGAAGTAGTTCAGCTCCCTCCCCTGTGCTTTGTACCTGCCTCACAGTGGTATTGTCAGAATTCAATAAGCATATGATTAGCAATGAGCTTAACACTTCAGTGAGCTAGGAAATAAAGGCTTAATTATTATACTTTTTTAACAAGGAGAAATTGCAGGTAACCTGAGGTTCCTAAGGACCTGGGTGTGCTTCCTAGGACTTGCATTAGGCATCAAGGTACAGAGCTTCAGGTAAAACTGTGACATGAGATCAGTTCAGTGTTTGAACTAACCCGTCATTGTATATTGTATTTATTATATGTGCGTATCTATGATTCAGTAACACCTTTAAGAGATTTAGCCTGATAAAAAATCTGACCAAATTATGCTTGTTAACTGAGAGACTAGTCCAGTCCATTTACACAACCCTTCTGTTCCCTCTCCCCCTCCTTTTCTCAGCTTCGTGACATATAATTCTTATTTACTAAAATTCATTCAGTTTAACTGTAGAGGTCAATGAGTTTTAGAAACATCTACAGTCTTGTAAGCACCACCATAATCAAGATTTAGAACACTTCCATTACCCCCGCCAAGTTCCCTCGCGCCCCTTTGCAGTCATTCTCTGCACCCACCCCAAGGCCCCTGCTGATGAGCTTTCTGTTCCTATGCTTTTCCCTTTTCTAGAACTTCATGTAAAAGCAATCATACAGTAGGTAGTCTTTTGTGTCTGCTCTCTTTCACTTAGCGTGTTGTCTTTGAGGTTCATCCATGTTCTTACCCTTGTCAGTGGCCCGTTCCTTTTTGTGGTTGAGTCCTAGCCCACAGTGTGGATGTACGACCTGTCATTTATCGCTTCACCAGTTGATGGGTATTTCATTGTTTCCGTTCTTTTGCCTGTTATAAATAATGCTGCTAGAAGCATTCAAGTACAAGTCTTGGTGTGGATGTGTTTTCACTTCTCCTGGGTAAATATCTAGGAGGAGACTTGATGGGCCAGAAGGCAGATGGATGTTTATTTAAGAAACTGCCAAACTGCTTTCCAAAGTGGCCATATCATTAAGCATTACCACCAGAAACGTGCGACAGTCCCAGTTCTGTGTCCTCGCCAATACGTCATCAGGATTTTATATGTAAAGACATTTGCGTTAGCCTATCCTTTTAAACTCTATCATTTTCTATCTGCAGGCTCATGTATGTATATGTATAGTACATGCATACACACATTCACACTGTGCAAACACTACGTGCTATCACCACCACCACCACCATCATCATCGTCATCATCATCATCATCGTCATCATTACTGTCTTAGTTCCTTTTGCAAACGGGAGTCTTCTTGCTAGCAGAGTACTTCCTGCTGCCCGTACTTTTCCTTTGCACTTCCCCTGACTCCCCTACCACCCACCCAACCCCAGTTCTAGCCCAGATTTTTTTTTATACAATAGCCTGGCTGGAAAGACAAAATATCTTGAGTGAGGATATTCATCCAACAATACCTGTGGGGCATTTTCTCCATACACTGCTTTTTTTAATAGGATGTACCTCTAAAATTACCACTCGTGCTGCAATTCTGTGGGATAAATGTCATTCCACATGCATTCCCTTTTAGCAGGAGCCTGCTCCTTTCTTCAGAGCGGGAAGGAAATCAGGCTGGTCATCTTTCAATGGAAAAATTACCTTGTTCTTTCAGTTTCTCCAGCAGGCCGGCCTTTCTCAATGCTGCGGGGCCTTCTTCCACCCCTCCTCGTGGCTGAATGATTAAAAAATAAAATAATTCAGACATGGTCAGATGCCCACAATAGGAACTCTTCATTCTTCAATCAGGAGAAGAGTAACTATCATTTTTTGAGTTCCTCCAGAGCCAGGAATTTACCCCGCCTCCCTGAATCACCCCAGCGAGGCCGACTGAATGAGTCCCACGTCAACTCTGAGCATCTAGAATCGGAACGGTTATCTCATTTTCCTATAGACACGCAGCTAACAAACGGCAGAGCCTTAGTTCATATCCAGGTTCTTTGGATCCCAGAACCTGTGTCTCCTCTTCCCATGAGAGACACCACGCTATCAACATGGTGAACATGTATTTCGTGCAGAAGCACTCAGAGACAGAGATGCAATCAACTAAAAAGGCCTTGTGTTTTTGAGTAACTCATGAGCTAATAGGGAATATGTATATTTAACCCCAATTACAGTACTTGGGAGATTTGCTTCAGTGCCGATACAAGAGGTCCTAACAACAAAAACAGGATGCTCCGAACTCTGCTGGGGACAGAGTGTGCCAGGTAAGGCTGCATGGGGTAGATGACATTTCAGCTGAGTCTTGCAACATGAGTAGGTTTCCAAGAAAAGGGATGGTGTGGTGGAGCCACTCTGCAAACCCAGAGAACAACTTGGATAAAAGCATAGGAAAAAACTGAGCGTGGCATGAGAGAGTCCTACGTGCTTGTCCGCACGGGGTAAGTTGCTGAGCTCCTGGGGAGAAAACAGGCCACAGAAATTCATCACTGGGGAGCTGAATTCACAAAGACCAACCCGGTATTTCAGGTTCTGACCTGCTTCACTCAGCAGGATTGACAAGAATGCTCCACTTGCTGTTTTTATACGTCAGAGAGGCGAACACACTTCCTCCTTGCCATAAATCCTCTCCAGCTTCCTGGCAGAATAGCAGCCTAAAGAAACAGTTCTCTTCTGTAGCTCTCTGATTCTAATTTCCAACAAGGCTTGTAGACACAGGAAGTTATTTGGGGTTATCCAACGAGAAGACGTGCCAGAAGACCCATGCGTCTGTCCCTAGGATTGGGGCCGCAGCACCAAATGAAGCAGCTATTTCTACCTAATTCCAATGACAGCTGACTTGCCCCGGCTGCCAGGCAAACCCTGGATGTCACATTCCTGCTCTGGGCGCCAAGTGCCCGCCACCCCTCTGCCTGACACGTTTTGCTCCTTTTCTCCCTTGCCTTCTTGCATGACCACCCCCACACACCTCCTTCCTGGAGCAGACGTAATTGCCCCTTCTTTAAACCTCAGTAGAGTGCCGCTTGGCTCTAATTTTGCCTTTCGTTTTGTGGTTGCTTTGTCTTTCCTCCGTTACTAGATTTCAGCCCAATGTTCTTTCTGCTCACGGGGCTATGTGTTGTAGTGCTTCATAGATGCTCAAAAAACTGTCACCCTGAGAAAACCTCCTGACCGTTTCCCTCTTCCTTTCAAGCTTTGGAACAAGTCTCATAGACCCCTTAGTTGACACCCTCTTTGTGCTAACGCAGTGGTTAGATTTTCCAGAGTGATACGTTATTTGTTTGATTCAAACTGCTTCTCACTGTTGGTCTCTTCTCACTGCTTGGTTTATCTGCCCACTTTGGAAATCACTTCCTTAGTTCCACTGACTTCGAAGCTGGGCCCCCAGCCCTAACTGGCCACAAGCGTCAAGTCTGTGGTGGATCGACAGGCATTAACACAAATCAGGTGCATAAGCTTCGGGATCATACAATCCTGTCTGGAATCACACAGTCAAGGCTAGTAACTTGGCAAATTGCTAAACCTCTCTGAGCCTTAGTGAACTGTACAATAAATATAACACTTCTCTCATATTTTGTCATCAGCTCCCATCCCCCACCCCACCCCCACCGCTCAGTGCCTTGCAAGGGAGTGGAATCTTTTCTCAGACTCAACCTTCTAATCATCTGCCCTTAATCCTCTCCTTTGCCTATCTGTAAACTTCTACCTCCTTTAGCTGAGGAGAGATGCTAATATGTGGGCCACCATTTTCCTCCTATGCTAGGGCTTAGGGTAGAAACATCTCTCTCTGAGTCCTTACTGTCAGGAGACAATAAGCTTCCTTCTCATGGGGCCAAGTTTTAATAGGGGAAGAGCTGTAGGGGAAAAGAAAAAGAAATACAAGACCAGAAAATGCATCAGGCTGTGTTTCAAAATACTATCCCTTCGATGGGCTATTATTATCAGAGCATAAAATCTTCTGCTGAGGTCCGAGGGCCAGAGTATATTCAGGCTGCTACCTGCTTGTCTGCCTCCCTCCCTCCCCCACCCTCTCCCATCTGCCTGTCTTCCTTCCTCCCTCCCTCCCTCCCTCCCTTCCTTCTTAAATTTTTATTTTCCTTCCTCCTTTCCTTCCTTTTGGTCAGTTATTTTCATTCTGTCTTCGTTAGAACCTGTCACAAGAACAGGTGAGTATATTGTGTGTTTTGCAATTATCCCGAGCGCTAGAAGAAACACTTCTATGTCAGCAAAATGTCCCTGTGTTCCGGGAGAGAGCTTTGAAGGACTACCAGGGGAGGCGCAGCAGTGTTTACTGACACTCCAAATGCAGTTTGGGTCTCTACCCTCTGACCTCTCCTAATCTGTTTTGCAATAAAATGCCAGAGTGCCAAGCATGAGTTCAAAACTAAGAGGAGTCAGCCGCTGCCCAGATGGGCAAAGAGAACGCTGGAAAACGGAGAAGACCCAGTTTGAAACAACCACAGTGACAAAATATCAACCCTCGGAGTTTCAAGTCACGCTGTCTTGTTTGCTTTTGTTTTGTTCTTCGTGTTCCCCCTTTAAGCACAGATGCATGCTGAAGTCCGAGGTCTCTAATCACACTGTTTGCCAGAATGAGTGTGCTCACCAGAAGAAAAGACTGCAAAGTGCAAGGTTGCTGGCATGTGTTGGCAACCTGGGCATTTCATAAATGCATTAGTCCCTTCAATGTTGCCAACTTCCAGTTGGATTTTCTTCTCTTTCCTTTTTCTTTTTCCCTCCCTCAAAAAGAGAGATACACAAAGGATTCTACCTAGCGCATGAACCAACATTTCACAGGATCATGAAAGCCCCGAAATAACATGAATCATTCACCAAGTTGCATAAACCAATAACATTTAGGTTATGCAGACTAAAAGAAGTCTGAAAATTGCTGCCAATCCACGAGATGCTTCTAGGCTTTAAGACATGACGAACCCGAAGTGTTTTCTTAAAATCTTCTCGCCTCGGCATATGCGCTATTGAAACCCAAAGCAACGAGAACATGGGAATCTCAATGAGTAGCTATAATAGACACAGCCCATTTCCATTCAAATAAAAATATGTTCTCTTAAAGAATGCCAAGAAAAATGTAGTCGATTCATATAAAATTGGCTGCCGCTGAGATTAGGAGCCACAAGAATAAATGAGTTTGTTACCATAATTCTCCAATGTTGCAAAATGGTAAGAGGACTTTAAAATATCTATTTCAGGCCCAGCTGTCCCAGGGAACTGAGCTAAGCAGACATTAGCACCTTACTAATTCTAAAGTCTGAGACTTTGTCATGAATTTCAGTTATTCAAGGCCACGCTTTTTACTCACCTGGCCCTTTGAGAAAGGCACTCCGATGATCCCTACGAATTTTGACTTGGAACTCATGTTCTGGCCCCTTCTCTCTGCTGCACTGAGTTCTCCAGCCAGGAACCGCTCTCTACAACCCCTCAGTGACCGAGGCCACATATTTGTTTCCATTTATAACAGGGCTGAATCTGTTTACCTTATTCTAATGAGGAAGGCTGGCTCCACCCACCGCACGGAGGAAGAGTCAGGCCAAGTCTCGCGAGGTCTTCATACCTGGACTAACCACGAGTCCTTTGGGGTGTAGATCTGTCCTGAAGTGAGCGTATGCATGTCGCCGGTTCACTCCCATGTTACAAAGTCAGCTGGAGGACTAGACTTTTTCCTAGCCACAACCTCGATTTCCTAAGCCTGAGAATCTTTTCTAATCATAATCAATTAATCATAACCACATAAGTAGCGTCATGGTGCTAGCTGAGGAAACGCAGGGGAGGGCACCTACCACCTCTAGGCCTTTGAATCCTCCTGTGGGGAATAGGGCTGGGCCTGGTGAGTCGGTCTCTCACTTCCCGTCCAGCCCTGCAACCCTGAGTGCCGGTCTCACACACTAGGATTAATGGTTAATCCATGAGACACGCCTCATAAGCCACATGTGTCAAGGAAAGCATAGGCTTTCCTTTTCCATTATTACTGAAAAGAAAAATGACCTGATTAAGGACCCAAAGATGTTACCGAGCGAATTCTGAAATACGGTGTGCGGGGAAAGTAACAATTCTTGGGATTGTAATGTCATAATCAGAAGTAAGAATAGTCTACGTTAGGTTTTTATCACGTGCCGGATGCTGTTCTTTTATATTATCTCATTTAATCCTTAGACCAATTTCATTATATTTTTTTAAAGATTTTTATTTATTTATTTATTTGACAGAGAGAGAATGAGCACGAGCAGGGGGAGCGGCAGGCAGAAGGAGAAGCAGACTCCCCACTGAGCAGGGAGCCCGACGCGGAGACTCGATCCCAGGACTCTGGGATCATGACCTGCGCCAAGGCAGCCCCGCTTAACCAACTGAGCTACCCAAGTGCCCTTCTTAGGCCAATTTTATAGCAAGTCTGACCATTAGTTCCATTTTTACTGGTAAAGAAACTGAAGCTCAGAGAAGTTGCCAAATGCTGTGCACAGGTGGTAGAGGAAGGGCCGTGATTCACTGGCATTCTGCATCCACCTAACCATCGGGCTTTACAGTCCAAACACGGGTGAAGTGTCAGCTCTCCGTGTCTGTCAAACCTGTGTGTCCCTGGGCGTTGTTTATCGTCAGGCAAAAGTATGGATTTAAGAGAAATGCACCCTAAAAATTCCTCCAACTGTAAAGTGATATCAATGGCATTTAAAGGGACAATTCATTTAGTAGACACTAATGTCCTTTTCCTATTGATGGAAGAGAATATTGTGGAGTATTTAAATACCATAAGAGCAGGGAATTTTGTCTACTGTATTATCCCCCGTGCTGAGAACAGCGCTGATGTGTGATCCCACTCAAATATTTATTGAATGGGTGAATGAGGAAACCAAGGACTCGCAGGTCCATTTTGATAGGACCATTTTCTCTCTCTCTCTCTCTTTTTAAAGATTTTATTTATTTATTTGACAGAGAGACACAGCGAGAGAGGGAACACAAGCAGGGGGAGTGGGAGAGGGAGAAGCAGGCTTCCCGCTGAGCAGGGAGCCCGATGACTCAGGGCTCAATCCCGGGACCCTGGGATCATGACCTGAGCCGAAGGCAGACGCTTAACAACTGAGCCACCCAGGAGCCCCTTGATAGGACCATTTTCTAATGAGGCTTCTTCTTTTTCACTTGTGAATTTGTCTGTATATCCTAGATATTTACTTCTGGTATTTTGGACAGCGAGGGATTAACCTCTTATGGTATTCATGTTGCAAATAACTTTCCAATCTGTCAGTATTTAATCTGATAATTTTGTATATGTTATCTTTCATTTTGAAATAGATAATTGAATATTTTCCCCTTATGCTTTGTGTTCTGGGAGTTTAATCTAAGTCCTTCCTGCTCTAAAATCATAAATATGGATTTCAATATTTTTTTCTGTTTGCTTCAGAGTTTCTTTCATATTTAGTTCTACATCCGCTCTTATACTGGTAAGTCCTCCAACTATATTTTTCCCCATGTAGGCCACCAGTTTCCTCAACAACACCTGCTGAGCGGTCCATGTGTTCGCCACTGAGTCAAATCTCCATCATGTACCAGGTTCCCCTGAAAGCATGAGGTTCACCACTGAGTCAAATCATCATGTACCAGGTTCCCCTGAAAGCATGAGTCTGTCACTGAGTTCTTTCTTCTGTTCCATTGGCTTATTTACCTGTGTCTGTAGCAGGTCTGCATCATTTTATTATCATGGGTGTGTAGCATATCTTACCATTCTTTGAGCAAGAATAACATTTTTGCTCTTCTTTTTCAAAACTGGTTCAGCTACATATAGGCCTTTATTCTCTTATTTATTTATTTATTTATTTATTTATTTATTTATTTTTAAGATTTTATTTCTTTTTTCGACAGAGAGAGAGAGAGGGCACAAGCAGGGGGAGCGGCAGAGGCAGAGGGAGAAGCAGACTCCTCACTGAGCAGGGAGCCCGACACAGGGCTTGATCACAGGACCTTGGGATCATGACCTGAGTTGAAGGCAGATGCTTAACGACTGAGCCACCCAGGTGAACCTCTATTCTCCTGTTTGTTTAGAATAAGTTATTAGATTCCTAAAAAAGAATCCTGCCAGAATTTTTACTAAATTTGTCGGTTGATCCACAGAGATTTGCTCTCTTTCAAATTTCATTGTCAACATTTTTTTAATACTCTAACATCTTGAAAGTTCCTCTTATATCAAGCTGAGATTGCCTTCCTATTATTTTCTCCATTGATCACAACCCTTCAAACTAAGTAAAACATACTATCTCTCGACTGTCATGTCTTTCTTGGGTCCTTTACTGGTTAGCCTGAATATCCCAAATACTTTCTTGTTTTTTTGTGTGTTACGTGACTACTATTTTCCTTCAGGTTACCACCTGGTCACTCTCTTCAAAACATCTTCTGACCTCCTTATGCCCTCCTTAAGTTATGTGGCTTCAAGTGCATTCCTCTAGTATACCTCTAAGCATAGACAGAGTCAGTCTGGTCCATCAAAGACAAAATTGGTAATGCTTGACTTTTCTAGGCTACTGATAAAAATGTTGAACAAGGCAGCACTTATGTAAGAGTTCCTTGGCATTCCACTGGAAACCTCAGCTCAGATCGGCATAGCTCCATTAATTAATCACCAATCCATACGTATAGCTGTTCACTCAGCTTGCTCAACCACTTCATCTTGTCTGGAAGGCCACCATAAGGAAGACTACCAAGTGTGTCCACAAATTCTTGCTATCCTTTGTCTGCTACCTTTTGTCATCTACCAGTCTGACTTCCCTGTCGAAGGTAATGAATTGACCCTGACAGATACTGTTCTTGGAAAACATCCTGACTTCTGGTGATCCCTGCTTCCTTCTTGCTAGCAACACAAACCATCTCTTCAGTCTCCAAAATTGTCATCTCAGGACTTCTACAGGGAGAAGACAGAGGCCCCCTTACCTGTATCATCCCATCAGAGCCCCACTTTTCCCAGCCCAACTTTTTTATTTATTTTAGAGTACACATATGATACATATATATCATATACACTCTATATGTAGTGTTGGTAAAGCCCTTTTCTTAACCAATCTCTTTCTCTGTCTTTTTTAGAAATCCTATCTGGTTTTTCCCTGAGGATGGGACCACATCGTATTTGACTATGATCCAAAGCCACTAGGATGAGATTTGGCACATGGGCCCTTGCCTTAGGTTTCTTAGGGTTATGATAACAAAATACCACAAACTGGATGACTTAAGACAGCATAAATCTATTGTCTCATAATTCTGGAGGCTAGCAGTCTGCCATCCAGGTGTTGCAGAACCATACTCCTTCTGAAACTAATAGGGGAGGTCTTCCTTGCCTCTCCCTAGGTTCTGGAGGTGTTCCGGCAGTCTTTGCCACCCCTTGTTATGTAGAGGCATCATGCTAATCCTCCACCTTGACATTGCATTCTCCCTGTGTCACTGTGTTTTCACATGCTCATCTTTTTAGAAAAGAGCACAGGTCCTATTGGGTTAAGGGCCCATCCTACTCCAGGATGAGCTAATCTTCACTAATTAAAACCGCAGTGACACTATTTCCAAATAGGGCCACATTCTGAGATGCTAGAGACTGGAACTACAACATATCTTTGGGAGGAATACAATTCAACCCTTAACTCCCCTTTGCTATAACAAAGGAAGGATGAATAAGCAAGTTGCATGATGAAATGAATCAAAAAATGACTTAACTCTTACTCTTTCCTTTTTTCTCTTTCTGAGGCTCCAAACTGTGACCCATTTCTTCATGAACTTTTCATCAGCCAGCTAACAAATAAGACTCTGTTCAGATGAAGCCCGGGATTCCCAGCACTTTTATAGAGGACTGGAAAATACACAAAATCCTAAGAACTAAATCTCTAGGGGAATGATTTCAAGGTATACTGCCTGGACTCTTTAAGCCCAAAGCAGCAAAGATGGGCCTGCTCCTGGAACACTTTGAGTTTATGGAAAAGTTTACACTGGATGATTTCTGGGTAAGTTACCTAGTCATATCTCCAGATGATGACTCTCCTAACCCTTTGAGGCACACCAGAAGCCCAAGCAAGGTGGGCGGCCAAGAAAAAAGGTTTACTTCAAAAGTCTGGCTCATGTTGTTTCATGTTATTTCATGACTATATGTTTATAATCTCCTCTCTTTGCCTTCCCCTCTCTCTTTACCCAGCCAGACTTGAAGCAGTACTCCTCGGAGTTTGGAGGCTATAGGAAACAAAATGTCAAAGTGTAACATTACTGATCTCTCTAGGAGCAGAGGGAGCTCAAGGCAGCATTGCACCAGGTGACAGAGGGCAATGCAAATGTGGGAGCTCTATCCACTTTGGTCTCCTGGGGTCTCCAAAGATATCACACAGTGTCCAATGGGACCCTGAACTACAGCCTTCAAGTCAAGGGAAGATATTTAAGCTCCATTTTGGAGGCTGCAGCTACATACTAAAGAGAGTCTAAAATACGGAGAAAAAAGAAAGAAATCACAGGAAACTAAAATCACTAGATTCAGGAGCACATGAGCCACCTCTGGGTGACATCTAGAAGTAGTTTGGGGACTTAATGTCCTGCACTAGGGGTACAAATTGGAGCCAGAGAACTAGATCCCATTATTGGGGTCTCAATTTACTCTGAGAAAAATGTGGTCCAGAACATAGAATGATAGACATATAAAATAACTGTGACCCCTGAGATAGAGTTGCTTGTCCGAACCACACAACCGACTGAGTCTAAACTGAGACTGAAATTCACATTTTTTGGATTCTTCTACTGTTTTTCCTCCTTCCATGTGCCGCCTCTCTCCACCTGCAAAAGTATCAATTGTTAAAAGTTCATAGTCATTTTTATGTGCTCATGTTTCATATTCTGTGCCTCATATTCTCTCTCCTCTCCTTTTGGGATTAAAGTCAAAAGTATCTTACTGACAGCCTCGTAGAGTAAAGTGGACATAAACCAAAACTCAGGGCACATAAATAGTTCAGAATTGAAGACGAGGCTGTCAAAACAAAAGTTAAAATTTGTCAGAATTGTCAAAGTCCCAGGGCGCCTGGGGGGCTCAGTG